ACCTAGAGATTTAGTGAACCTCTCATCATGTATAAAATACTGTCTAGTTTCATGAGAAGTCAGGGATTAAAAGTCCTTGCTCTCAAAGAGATCAAAGGTAAATTACATTGATAGAAAATTAGAGTAAAGAGCAGGAAGGGAGGAGCATTATAAGGCACTAATTGACACTCCGTCAGCACTGGCCAGGCCTCCCACTGTCTACATTCTCCAACCTGCAGTCAGTCTCACAGAGGGCCAGGTGCTTCTGAGTCACACCCACTGATTTCCCAAGCTGGTGAATCATAAGAAAGATTACAAAGCAAAATGAACTACTCTAAATTTCTTTTATTATTTATTTTATGATCACTACTTTCCAAATTATTGAGAAGCCATCGGGTCAACTACAACCCCTAGTGACTCTATGAATAATGTCTCTGAACCTTACCCTATCCTGAGCTAACCTCACAGTCTATAGAGTCTGAAATACTTTGTCCTATCTCACAGACCACACAGAACCATATAAGGGAAGTAAAAAAGCTATAATTCAGGCTATTACTCTCCAAATTATTTAGGAGTAATGATGTCAGTTTGAGGCCTAAGGTGTGTCTGACTCAGACCACGGTCTTTCTGATCACTTGCTATGCAACTGAGAGCTGGACAACAAGTAGGGATGACAGAAGAATTGAAACCTCTAAGCTGTGGTGTTGGAGAAACGTGAACATCTCATGGACTACCAAAAGAACAAACAAGCATGTCTTGGAGAGGGTGCAGTCAAAGTGCTCTTTGGAGGCAAAGATGATGAGGCTTTGCATCATATACTTTGGGAATGTTGCCAGGAGGGGCTATTCTTTGGAGAGGGACATAATGCTTGCAAGCATAGAGGGTTGGCAAAGGAGAAGACCATGACCAGGTAAGGTTGACACAGTGACTGCTGTAATGGGTTCTAATATGTCAGGAAGTGTGAGGATGGCATGGGAAAGACAGGGTTTAGATTTGTTGTTCACAGGGTCTTTAAGAGTCACCTAATAATAACATGATCATTAGGCTCAATACTAACAACGTCATTCAATATACGTGTCCCTTCTTATGATGTTTCAAGGAGAAGAAATAACAAGCACAAAAGCTAGTGAGAAGAGACAGATTTAGCAACAGCTTGGTAGTCATGTCAACTCATCTCCCTCAGGTTAATTTGTAAATCATATCATGTCACTCTCAATTTTAAATATGTCAAAGGCACCTGAAGGGAAAAAAAGGAAACTCCTTATAAGAATCTAGAATAAAATGCACACGTTAGTTCACTGGCCACCAGTTCTGCCTGACGGTATCTGTACTTCTCAAGTGCCTCCTTCATCACTCTCCTGACTCAGAGCTACCACTGTTACCTGTTTCTCCAGGAGGCTAAACTGTCTCCTAATGCCTCTACTCCCTCTGCCTGACCCTGCTCTTGGCTGACCTCTTCTCATGCCTCAGGTCTTAATTCAAATGGTATCTCAGATAAAACATCTAAAGAAGTCCTTTCCCATTACTCTCTGCTACAGTTTCCTGTTTATTTCATTATCACTCTTTGTCATTATTTATTGCCCTGTGTACCTTGGTAGATAATTCACTGAGAGGACAGCACATCTCTTTAGTATCTAAAGTGACTAATACAGGGCCCAGCACATGGGTGGCACTTGATTTTGCTGAATAAACAAATACATATTTTTGTAAAGCAACTCTCCACTACACCACAGGGAGAACTACAAGAAGCAAGGAAACCAGTTAAGGTGAAGGTGACTGTAGACCATACTTCAAGCAACACTGACATAGGTACTGTTAATGTCATCATTCTTAAGGACTTCCTTTTGGATAATTACATAATCATGAATGGGCTGAATTAGACTAACCTAACATGGATTACCTAAATGTTCTCTAACTTGAGGCCCATTATTATTTACACAATCCCATTTCTCCTTGAACCTCCTGCATAAAGCAAGGCCAAGTAGGTCTCTGTACTATTCCCAGGACAGCAAGCCATGTTCCTCCTCTTCTTGCCCAATCTTCAAAGACAAGCAGCCCAGAATACTACTGCCACTCTCTACACCAGTGGTTCTCAATACTGGCTGCATGTTAGAACCTTTTAAAACTGTAAAAAAACTGAAGAGTCTTTAAATACCCTTAAACACAGGCCATACCTTAGACCAATTACATAGACTCCCTAGGTGTAATACCCGGTCAATATTTTTATTTTCTTAAAAACGTCATCTTGAAGTTCTACAGAATAGCAAGAACAAATATCTTAAGTATCCAGAAAGATAAATCTGCACTTAATTTCTTTATCTACTTCTTTGTTCACTTAATTCCTTTATTTGTTGCTTTTGTTGTTAGTTGCCCAGCTCCTTTAAGCCAGTTAGGTCCCTACTCCTCTCTCTTTTTTTAAAATTTTTATTATATTATTTTTTGTGTGTACCGTCAAATCGGATCTGACTGGTACAGGAGGAGATTGTCCCTCCTTTTCCAGCACAGCATCTGGCGGATTCGAACCATGTACCTCTGGGATTGCAGTGTAGCTTCTTGCCACTAGGCCACCAGAGCTCCCTTTACTCCTCTCTTTTTATAGTCATTATGTGTACTATTAGGATGATTCCAATTCATGCTCATAGAATCTTGTATTTAAAGATGAAAAAGCTGGTTCTAATACCAGGAAGACTCCATGAATAACCAGATATCAAAACATTCTCATTACAGTACTAGTTTCTGCATTTTTCTATTAAGGTTACTATGTTATTTTGCCTTAGAATAGTCAAAGAAAAGAGGGATAATATATATAGACAAACACATTTATGTGCCACACAAAGAAGTTCTTTTCTAGGTGGATGGAATACTTCTACCATAACTAAAACCCACTCTATTTAGAAATATGACCATCTCTACCACATCACAGAATTTCAAGCACTAGGAATATTTAGCTTATGAACAAGAGGGAGATCTGGTAGTACAATGGTTAAGTCCTTGGCTGTTAACCAAAAGATTGTAGGTTAAAAGTCACCACCTGCTCTGTGGAAGATAAAACCTGGTAAACTACTTCCATAAAAATTAAGAGCCTCGAAACTCTAAGTGGCACTTTATTCCATCCAATAGGGCTTCTATATGTTAAAAGCTGACTCAATGGCACAGAACAACAAACAAAAGAACACAAAACTTTCAACTGATTATGCAGAAAATAAATGGAAGAATGACTATAACCATACACTAAAACTGGCTTGTTTGACGTCATTATAAAATATAACTAGAAATAACCACTGTGAGAATGAATCCATTTCAGGTCAAGACTCTCACTGCTCAGTAGTCAGTTTTGACCCACAGTGACTGTCCTTGAGTTTCTGAGGTTGTAAACTGAAGAGAGGAGAGGGAGACTGCCCATCTTCTCCCCGTGGTGCTACTTGGTAGATCTGAACCACTGGAAATATACATAGCCTTTGAGTTAGCAGTGCAGTTCACTACAGACTATACCACCACAGTTCAGTACAAGGAAAAGATTATCTTAGTTCTTTCCACATCTTTTACTTCCACATTTACACAGATCTACACATCCCACTTAGAAAGTTTATGACATTTCTAAAAACCCACACAGATCATCGAATTATACAGAGTTGTGTTTTATAAGATTAAATACCAAATGCCAATTTTCCCACCAATGAGATAAAGTTTTTAATGCTTTTCAAGATTTTTTTCAAATTTACACTTCTTCCAGTTCAATATAATCTGAGCAGTCTGTCGATTAGTCAACTGTCATCCAAGATCTGTTACAAATGTAATCAATAACATCTAAAACATGCATAAACCCATAAAATGTCACATTCTTTTTCTTTAAAGAATTCCCCCTAAAAGGAAAACTCACACAAAACAATAAAGAATATACTAGGCAGGTTATTATTCTGTTATTATATCATGTTTCATATAATAAGGCATTCTGAATCAAAGTTGTCTATGAAACCAAACACACTGTCTTCAGGTCAGCTGACTCACAGCAACCCTCCACTGGGTTCCAAAGGCCGTAAATCTGTACATGAGGCGATTGCTCAGTCCTCCCTCAGAGCAGCTGGTGAATTCAAGTGGCCAGCCTTTTGGTTGGCAGCCTGCTGCATTAATAAATGCCATATGGAAAGCTGCTACTCATGTGCCAAACCCATTTTTTTCTTGGTCTGCTCTTGGGATCCTTTGGTATACTGATAAAATTTGGTAATGCTGGAGAGAGTAAAAGCTCTTTTCAACTTGAAGACTAAGGATCTCCAATTTGATAACTCAGCAGTGTTCAGCAGCTAACCTATTTAGCAATTTGAATGCACCATCTACTATGGAGCAGAAAAATGCTCTACTCCATCCTATAAGCTCATTAAGAGTCAGGACCAACTAGGCAGCAAGGGGTCTGGCTTGGTTTTGGGAGCTAGAATTTCTGAAGTTGCTACTAAAAGCCTGCCGAGTAACACAGTAGAGTCAGTTCCAACTTACAGCCACCTTCCATCCAGTTTCCCAGCTGTAAATCTTTACAAGAGACTGACCATTTTCTCCCTGCAGAGCCCAGAACACATAGAAACCCAAAACTTGAGATCTGCAATCCAGTAAATTACTACACCAGCAAGGTTCCTAACACTACCAAGGCTCTCCAAATTCTGCCTTAAGCAAGCCCTAATTGAAGGGATGTTACTGTTTATGTACATAAACATACAGTTAAAAACTCGTTAAAATAATTACCAGGGAGAATGAATCTGCAGTAAAGAGGCAGGAGACTTGAGTTGTAACACTTTCCCTATTTGCGCATCTACTGAAAGGTACACACCCAGCAACATAACCTGATGGAAAACACATCTAGCTATCAAGAGATCTGAGATCACCAAAATGTGTAACCATAAAGCAGTTAAGTCCTTACCCTCTGGGATTTTTACCTCCCTCCCCGGGAAAGGGGGATATGCAGTGCAGGGAAGGCTCGGGGAAGTGGAGTCAAAGGGAGACTGAATTTGTTTGCCGAGTGCGCCACTTACGAGATGTATGCAGGGTAGCCAAATCCGATCAGGTTGCAAAGGAGGGAGGCTCCATAACCAAACACCAAGTACAAGGCCACCAGCCCGATGACACCTGGGGACAGGAGGAGAAATGGGCAGGGTAGCAGAAAACACTCAGCCCCTGCCCACACCGCCAGGCTGGGCCGATTCTAGTCGTTTCTTCTTCCAGCCTCGATTGATTGAGCAAGACAGGCAAACCGCACAAGGGGTGGGGTCCGTGTCTCCGAGGGATGTCGCGCGGGATCCAGGTAAACCGGGCCACCCACACCTTGCGCCCTTCTTTCCTTCCTCCTCTCCTCCCGCACCAGCCGCTTCCGCGCACCAGGTGGGGTCGCGGGGCGCCAAGGAGGGTCCGGGAAGGCTGGAGCAGCCTGCGGGTGCACCGGACCAGGACGCCCCGCTCCGCGGAGGGCCCGGAAGAGGCTCCAAGTCCCGCGAGTGCCCGCACCCATCTCCGCTCCTTCTCCGCGCCGAGCTCCACGGAGGGGGTAGCGAGGCCACGGTCCCTCCATGACCAACCCGCGCACTGCCGCTGGGACGCGGCGCCTGGCCGGGGACAGACACGTCAGCGCCGGCCAGCTCCCGCTCCCCGCCCCCACCGGGGACCCGCGGCCGCCCTCCCCGCTCGCCACCGGCCCGCGGGGCACACCCCGCACCGCCCGGAAGGGGTCTCCCACCGGCCTTTGGGGGCAGCTGGTCAGGTGCCAAAGAATGCTAGCTCGCCGCCGTCCGTCACCCACGTCGCCTTACTCCCCTCGTTTTCCTCCCCAGCAGCTGCAGCAACTCGTGCGGCGGCGGCGGCAGGCCCTGGGCGGAACACGCCATGCACCCACCAAGTGCGATGTAGCTCCGGTTCACTCCGGTCTTGGCCTCGAGCTTGGCCAGAAGGTCGGTCATGCAGTTCTTTTCGTGCAGAAACCGGTCGAACCTCTGCCTCATGGCCGCAGACATGGCGAAACCGTGGCGCCGCTGCCAGAGGTTGCTTGCTGCTAGTGCCGGGTGGACGC